CTCACCAGTACTGGTCATGCTTTATAGAAAGCTGGTCTGTGAAGATTTCAGGGAAGGTAGTTAAATTAAAGCATGTTGCACACAAAGCTACAAACCAGATTTTACTTACTCTGGGGGAAAGCAACATTTTTCACTAAGGAGTTGATGAGCGGTTGTGGGTTGATTTTTCTTTTTCTTTTTTTAAAGCAGGTTGATGATGAAAAATCTCAGAACAGTATGACTATCATGAGAATGATTTCTAAAAGCAGGAAGCATGACAGCCCCACACCCACAACAGCAGAAGCAGCTGCCACACGCAAGTTGTCAGCCACACACTGCAGGTCTGATCCTGCACTACTTAAAGGTACTTGGAGCTTTGACATTGTCTTCAATGCAGTGAACTGCACAATGCAGAATTAGCTAAAAGCCCAGTATAAGGAAAAAGAAATGGGTGGTATTACCCAAGTCAGAAGGTATTTCATACCCTAGGCTCAAAGCAGGAACTGCTATGATAGAGCCCAGCCTGAACAGAAGTACCAGGACCACCACCACTTACACTCAGGATCTGCAGCACTAAGAAAGGATCCCACCAATAAGAAATAACAGTAATTAAAACAATCTCTAACCTCATCTGAATTTCCCTTCAATATGACTTCAGTGCCTCCCAGATTCTAGATGCTGGAAGAGAAATTTCATTTTGATGCTAAGAGAAAAAAAAAATAAAAAAAAAAATCAGAGCAGGTTGTTTCACTTTTATCTGGAACATTTCCACCTGCCCACCTCTTCTCTGCACAGAGCCTTTCCAAGTTCAGTGGAAGTCCATGTCTGGCTTTAAGCACAGGCAACATAGGAAGCTGCTGGGTGTCAGGAAGATTTCCATAGCCCCTTCGCCTCTGCTACCACAGTGGAAAGCCAGATCCGCTGCTGCCAGCTAAGAAAGAATCAGGAGTAGAGACAGCTGATTATAGTGGTAGGGCAGCAGTAATCACAGCCTCTGACCGTGCTGCTCCTCAGGGTAAGGAAAAGCAAACCCAGCTCTCCGGGAAGGCGTCCGTGGCAGCACGGCCCAGATGGGGGAAGCATTTTGCCTGCATTTGAAAAATCAGGGAGCAACTCCGCGTTACAAAATGGCAGAAACCAACTGGCAGGACCCCACTGTCCCCAAGCCAGGCAGTGTCTCCCCTGCTTGCAGGGGCTCCTAAGGAGATGAGATCCTTTCTTTTGCAGAGTTCAGGGCAGCAAAGCAGCTGTTCCCAAAAAAGCAACAACTCACAGCAATGGCGGAGCCCCCAGTGCCTGTCTCACACTGTGAAAGCAGCAAAAGCAGTGCAGGAGGGGAAAAATAAGGAATTGTAAGGATCGCTCCGCTTGGGCACAGTTACGTGCCGTAAATTCCTGGTTACAGGTCAGTCATCCCCACAGGTCTACATGGACAGCCCGGTATTACAATCGCTTTTTCTGACTTTGGCAGAGCCTGACCGCAGGCAGCTGCCCATCGGCGCACCATCTACCTCTAGCGCTACACGGGTTACCCTGTCGCAGGGCTCGAGATTCCGGTCTGAACCGAGGACCCCCTACACAGTATAAAATATGCTAAGATATTTTCAATGCAGAGAGCTTTCAATGCTGTAAGGAACAGCCTTGCTTTCCACACATTAGCACATTGAAATCTGTACAGCAAGCCTGTCAAACAAAGCAGCTGCTCTCTGGCTCTCCTACACCTCTCCTCAGATGGAGGAGCTTCAATTATGTGCACGTCTGCAGGATTTTAACCTTTTGCCTTCCTCTAGGCACTGTGTAAGAAGATCTGATGCACTAGTCTGTTCACTTTCACATGGTGGCTCAATGTGAAAGGTTGCCCTCCGAGTCTGTTTGTCACAGCAGGGGTGTAGGAGTGCAAAACCAGAAAGCTACTTAATTACTGGTTCCCTGCCCCTGCATCTTCAGACTGGCAAGACAAGTCAAAGAAAGTATTTTCTAGGGGAATATGATCAACTGTAGAAAAAAAGTAATTAAAAGTAACCGCAATGTCCAATTTTACTTAATTTTATACAAGAGCTCTAAGACATTTACATACTTACAATCTTTAGACGAACACAACTGCATTCCATGATTTTCAGAAGGAAGCATTGAACATCCTTCACAAATAACGGTCAGGAACATTTGTAGCCCAACTCAGTTGCTGCTTAGATACCACAATAATGGCCATGCTAAAAGGTCTAATTAACTCCCACTGATTTCAGAGAAGTAACGAAATTATAGCCAAAACAGGTACATCAACATGTTACCTTAACATGCAGTCACCTCCTGCTTTTCTCTCAGTCACTCTGGCAACATATCAATTATCACCACGCTCAGATTAGCTCCTGTTTCTAAACAAATACTGAAAAGGTGAATCTTTTCCCCTAAAAAGATTCTACAGGATAATTAGCAACATGTACTAAATGCTTGTAATCCACAGCTGTCTTCCAGAAAAAATAAGTTTAAGGAGCTGTCAGTTCAAACCATCAAATCTAAACTACTTGACAGTGTATTGAACCTTTAAACTTCCGTTGAGAGCAAAAGACACAGCAGACACACATATAGGTCTGTAACCAGCAATGTCAGCTAGTAAGACAGCACAAAGTCTTGGGTTTTATGCAGCAGCAATACATTAGCACAAGAAGCATAGCAGCATAAGATAAGATTTCCTGCAGGAATATTTTAGTTACCTTGTGCCTGATTTTTACAATCATCCCTGTTACTTCCAGTAACCTCAACAGATCGTGAGATCAGAGGACTTGTAGCAATGGCACGTCAATAGTTTAAGCATTCACCTGACATGCTTTAACACAAAGAACAAACACAAAAAATAACCTAGTTTGGAACTTGAGAAACTATCCTGCTCCAGAGGCGGCAGGATGAAAAAGCAGCCAGAAGGCCTAACTCAAGTGCCAAAAAGTACCATCAGTGGTACCACACATCTTCTGCGAGATGCAGCTTACATCAGGAAGCTCGTTAGAAAAAGTGCATATGATACCGAGTCGAGGCTGGAAATCAATGTAGGTTAGGTCCACAACGCACACGCAGCCTGCTCTCTACCCCGCGTTGGTCTGTCTGCTGCAGACTGCTGACATATTGGCTTACATGCTCTTATGGAACAAACTGAGTCATGCTGCTAAGACTTGAAAATAAACGTTTTTAAAAAAGCTCTGCATTCTGCAGGCAGTAGGTCCCCTTTCATAAAGCTGAGGCTCATGATACATACATACACTTTTGCCCATTTCACCCCCAAGGTTACCTTTGGGTACCAACTCATTTCCGCATGCAAAACACAGTTGTGAAACAGACAGCTCATGCACTCAACTTTAAGAAAAGAGTTAAGCCTTTTCTTAAAGGCCTCTTTATTTTTAAATTCCTTCAAAACATAAATTAAACAAATCAGATGCAAAACACCTGCGTTTTAAATTAGCATATATTTTACTGTATCAATCACAGCAACCTCATACAGTAAGATACACAAAAATAGAGCATGGTATCACTTCAATTCAACACAGTTTTGTACTACAGTATTCCATGACATATATACACAGGACTTTTCTTTTTCAAAGCAAGTATAGTCCCTGCTATGTTCACCATAAAAATTACGTGGCATCACAGTTTTAGTTATTCACTGTAGTGTGAGTAGCCATATGGAAATTGAACTAGTGAACTACAAGATACACTGTATAGCAGCCAAACAGGCATGACACTTCAGAAGATGAACAAAAACAAAATAACCACCAAAATGAAAACCACCCTTAGACTGTGTTTTAATAGTAAAATTGTTTTTAAATTCTTCATTATATACATAATGTATCTACATTTGTGTCATATTTATATATATATATATTTATAAAAAACCATACAAGATTTTGAAAACCTTAAAATCATTCACCTAAACAATATTCAACCCAACCTTCAGGGTCAGAAAGGCAATACTTGCCTGTAACATTATGTTCAGTCGCAGTTGCTTGATTCGGAAATTTCCCTGATTGCTAAACACACACCATTCACTTTGTTTCTTAGTGCAAACTGTACAGTAACTTATTGTTCTCAGCCCTCTGTAAGACTCGGGTTTCATCTTATTTCCATAATACTTCTGACACCCATTTATGGCTAAAATTATTTTAGTTATTTTACAACATTAGCCTATATAGTTTCCCCCTCTACCTACCGCAAGCCCTCCCCCCACCCAAAAAATGTAAGACAAATGATCATTCATGCATGTTTCTGTCACACAGGGATCAATGGACATTTAAGTTTAGAAGTCTAGACTCTAACAGTGTTTAAAAAACCCCTAAGTGAATAATTTTAGTGCAAAGTGGACTACATAGTTTACATCTCAGCTAGAGTTCTTTACAGATATTTTAAACACATTTAATTCTGCACATCAGATTAGATTGCCCGATACTTTGTTCTAACTAGCGAGTTGGAATAAGGAAGTTAGAAGGATTCTTGTGGGTTTCCTTTTAGTAAAAAACTAAAGCCTATTTGTAATCGGGTGGTGTTTGGGGGTCAAACTGTACAGAACCTAGCACAACGGAGTCCTGGTTCTCGGCTAGGGTTCCTATGTGCTACAGTAACACAGATAAATATCATTATCTGATTCACATCCATAACTGATGGGTTTACTTTAACAGGAGTCACAAAAGAGCTCTGATTTTTAACCAGGCCAGTGCTTTACTTGCTGGACTACACTACAGACTTTGCAGTGAATTTGGAAGCAAGCGTAACATTTATACTTACAATTTCCATAACCACAAAGGAAAAGCGTGCACCGAGAACCAAAATCCTGCAATTCTTAGACAAGACTCCACTTAGACTAGTGGTAGCCTTATCGGAGGAAAAAAAAGTCAGATTAAAAACCAAAAATTGATCAGAGCCAAGAACATCAGTCTGCCACAGTGACTATAATAAGCTATGAAATACAGTACAAGGAAAAACAAAAAGTCACCTGAACAAATAACCCAGAGACCTCATAATTATAATGATTCTACCACTTTTAAGAACTCAACATATTAAATATTTATTAAAAATAAACTGTTTCCAAATTACCTATTTACAGTACAAAGAACAGTACTTAACACATGTGCAACAGAAAGTAAAGAAAATCAGTACTCATCTGGAAGGACAACACTCTAGGCATAATTTAAGTGACGTGAATACAGGTTCACCTTTTTAAAATACCATACAGTAAAACCCAGTAGGATGATATTGGCAACACCAGAAAATAAAGCACGTATTGTCCAGATTCAGATTATATAAGCTTGAGATAAACAACCGGGAGATCAGGGGAGAAGGAAGAAACAAAGACGAAAGGAAGAGATGCTGTGGTGTTTGCATTTTGGAGATCAAGAAATGCAGACACACTTCAAAAAAATAGTCCTTGTTGGCAAAACAAGCCATTCACATATTTCTTGCACATTCTGAAGTCATACGTTATCAAAAACCAGCAGTAGTTTCATCACTCATAGAAAATGAGAATCTTAGACTTTCTTTTAAAGCCTTGCATGGTTTTATTTGGGCAAGGAGATGACTGCAATGGAATAGAAAGGTGTGATGTCACTTTTCCAAAATACAACAGCTGCCAAGTTTTAAAGAAAAATGTGCTCTTCTCCCCCATTTAAATTGAAAAGTAATGATCATTTAGGAGTTACCTAAATTATAGCAGCATGAAATCTAATGCATCTGCAGCATCTGTGAAGCGACAAAAATGAAGAACTGGCACCTGATCACTGAACCATGGTTCCAAATATTTGGACATGTCATTTTGGTAAGAGGTCAGTGTATTTTCTCATCAGTGGAGTCAGAACATTAGTTAGGATAGCCCTTTCCCCTCCCCCTTTCCTTCCCCTCCAAAACAGACTAATCAAGTCTATCTATAAACTACATGGGACAGCTGGGACGATTTGTAGTTTAACTGATTGTTAGGCATGAATCTGTGAAGCTCGCTTTTTCTACAGCAGGGATCGTAATAGTAAGCATTGAGGCAACTGTCACATGAGACTTTTGAACAAAATGTGCAAGTGTTTGCAGCTCCAGATCGGTTACAAAAGCCACAGCGCGAGGTGCCTGAAGGTTTGGATTTTGAGCTGAACTGAGCAGCTCTCTCTTGACTCTGAGTCTGTGATGTGTACTGAGATTTCTCCCTTAAAGCAGACGCAGGAGACAAGCCATCATTTGGAAGTGGTTTGATTGAATAGGTGCTCTGTTTCACTGCTGGATATTCCTGCCTGGGGTTGAACAGATTGTCACACTTTTGGCAAACAGAAGTGCCACAAGGTATGCCACAGTTTTGGCACTTGAGGGAAGCTGTCTCTTTGGCTAGGTGGGTGCGTTTGTGGTAAACAGGGTTGGCATCATTTTTTAACAGCCATACATCAGGCTTAATAGCTTCTTGTCTTTTAAAATTTAACATACTTCTAGAATCAGGATCAGTATATAAATCCAAGTCCTCTTGAGCAGAAAAATAGGAGCTGTAAGGGACATTTGTTCTTAGCATGCCATTGTGATGAGATGAAGTTGGCAAGAATTCATCTGAACACCCGTGTGGGGAGCTTGACGTTGTCAGAAGAGAGGGTGACGGACGGATAATTTCATCTTTAATATCATCTTCTGCATCAACTAAAATCGGTTCTTTCCTGAGACTCAGTGAGCTCATCAAAGGTGGTTTCTTACTTTCCCAATAATTATCATATGTGTCCACTGATTTAGAAGGCTTGCTCACCTTTGGCTTGAAATAATCTTTAGAGGCTCGTTCGCTCGCTGATTTCTGGAGTACCATTCGTGCCATGGAAGTGTTTAAGTTTTCTTTGCACTCTGCACGCCGTTTCATGGCTTCGGAGCAGCCTCTAACATCCTCACTGCTATTTTTTCGTTCGTTTATGACATCAATCTCTGAATAACCTTTATCTTTCACTTGCAAGTGAATTTCAAGAAGCTGCTCACATTCGACTTTGGCCAAAAAGAGTTCAAATGAAACCATTTTCACTTGAATGGCATCAACCTGCTCTTTGAGCTTATACGTTGTTCCCAGTTCTTGGACATAGCCCATGTAGTTCAAAATTTGTCTTACATCATCTTCAGTTAGAGCAGACTTTACATAATAAACAAAAGGTCCAGTGTAGGTCTAAGTGGGGTGGGGGAGAAATAAAAGGAAAACTAGGTTACAAATTCAGTGGTGGACTAGATGTTCAGATAATTCAGTGACAGATACTACACAATTAAATAGAATAATAACAACAGTGAACACATGCAACTCCCATGGCAAGATGAACTCCATTTCTGCGTCCCTCCTGTTCAGCAGATGGAAATTCCGCATGAGGCAAATTCAAAGTAGGAGAGTTTCCATTCAAACTGAAATCCTGATTAGCATAATGTCCTCCCTGTTGATTTAAATCACTATGCTATCCACTGACATTAATTTTTATGCATACTAGACATGTTTGCATTTACAAGCAAGTCTACCATGAAAGGTAAAAAAGCAGAGGATTCGTGTGTTGCCCCCAAACAGGGGAAAGCCAGACATAACAGGAACTAGGAATTACTACAGGAGTACCAAAGTCCTCTTCAATTCAGCTTTAAATATACTTGAGGTGTGCACTTTTTTGTGTGCTATGACTATGCAATTTCAAATGTCTGTTTTATTTAATTTTATATTAGGTCAAGAACTTCCACTAGAAAAGCCCCCAAAACAAAGGTATGAGTTTGAGCGAGTTGAAATACCTTCAGCATGTGGCATACCTGAGGTATGTTCTCAAGCCAGATCAAACTGTTTTGGATGGCAGGCAAGAGTAGCCTGCCCATCACATCTTTGTATATAACAGGAACTGGATCCACAGTGCACAATCAAAGTCAATATCAGCACTGCATCAAGAGGTATCCTCAATGGATTGGCCAACATTTCAAAGGCTAGAACTTAAGCATAATGATGAAAATGATTTACGGAGAGATCTTGAAGAAAGGTAGTTTCCCCATGGGGAAACAGAGAACTCTCAAATGTTCTAATACCATTCAAATTCTCTGCTAAATAGTGAAATAGTGTCTTTTTAAGAAAAAACAAAGTACCCATATCTAGTGCACAACCTGCAAATGACTTTAGACACCTACAACAGCAGTGTTTTTACCCAACTTTCAAGTCTCAAAACTGTTCTTGTAAGTCACCTAGAGCATTCATTACTGAAATGCTGTGGCAGTTTTAAATAAGCATATAAGAACAGGCAGAAGATAAAATAGAAAAATCAACAGCAGAGAACTCACTATCTGACTTCCAGCACCCAAGCCGAGCAATATACAAGTTCCTACTTTTCCCTCTTAGATCCTGGCATAGGTAAATAAATTGAAAGTACATTAAAATCAAAGCTTCGTGAACTGAGAACTGACAAGCAGATAAAAGATATTCTGGAAACAATTCTTTCAGAGAAGTTCCTTTAGCATTATCATATAACTCATGGGAACGCACTTGAAAGCATGCATTGGTTGTTAGTACTTGTGCTCCACTAATAGTTGTTGCAAGACAAAAGTCAAACTTTGAGTAAACTTAAACGCAACTTGACCACTCACTCTAGTGAAAGCATCTCCAAGTAGAAATTAAGGCAGTGTAGCAGGGTAGGCTGAACAAAAACCTTAAATAAGCTCTTCTTCTATTTTATGGTTACATTATAAATGTAGATAGTACTTGTACTTCTGCTCTCAGAATACTCTCACCAGCACAAACTTCACTTATTTTACACAGAAACGTTCCTATGTCTTCTGTTTACCAACTGTATACAGACAAATATATACATCATGCTAATAGGTGGGGGAAAAAATAAGTCTTTAGAGGAAATGCATGAAATGCGTTAAAAGAAAGAAAAAAAAAAATCATGTTCTCAGTATGGCCACACATAAAATGTCTTACCTTAATATTTTTGAACTCCTTTTTCCAGGGGTAAAGAAAGAGATTAATTCCAACTGTCTCGAGCATGCTGAATGCATTATGGAGAGAATGTAAACTTGAGGATTTCACAGATCTCAGTGAGTTTTCAGCCATCTCGTAAAATTTGATCAACCGGAATCTATAAAATGGATCAATTTTGGGAAGGCAAAGTAAGGCTGCCGCTGCCACTCGCAAGTACTCATCATTAATAGGACGCTGCTTGTTGTCAGAGGCACTCAATTTGCATTCATGGAACTGTACATACTTCCTAAATAAATCGTCTTTATATTTTGTATCCATTGAAATCAGTTTTTATCTCACACTTGGGCAGCTACCTCGTCTCTTTCATGGTTATTCAGCAGTAGGTTGATTATCTGGCATTAAGAATCTTCAGCAATGGCAACTCTTCTGGAATAAAAATCGAAAACAAAGACAAGTCATGACAGTTGCATAAATCCCAGATGTCCACAGCATCTATCTGCTTCACAGGATTCTATAAAATGGTCCATGGAGCTCCCAGAACAGCCTCTTTGGGTACCTGAAAAAGCGCAAGAGTCTACAGAAATGCCGTTGTCCTGCTTTTCACTGTCATTCTCTACTCCTCTTCCAGTTATGTGCCTAAAAAAGCACAACAAACCTACATCGAGCAAGGCACTGAGAGTTTGATACAATAAAGCTGGTGTAGGCTCAAGCCCAGACTGGGGATTCCTTGGCTTAGGGAACGAAGGCAAAAGTAACTCACAGCAAAAAACTGAAAGGAGAAGCAGGAGTATTTAGGGTCTCTCCTCTGTATTTTTTTTTCCCATTTCAGTTCAAACAACTTATACAAACATTATTTTAATCAATCACCGATGTTGGGTTGCGTTTGTTTGTTGTTTTTTTTTTTCCCCTGCATAGTGATATAAAGATTAGAAAATCCCACAAAAAAGTTTCATTTTGCACAACTTGAGAAGGCATCTACTTTTTTGTTCCTCTAGTGGCACAGGACTGCCCCTAGACTAAGCAGATTAATTAACTTTGCCTTTCTATTTATAACATTTTCTAGGCTTTTGACTGCCACTCACTTTCCACCTGATGGCACACCCAGGCCATCACTGTGCTGGGAGAGCTCTGCAGCCCTCCTACAGAGAACACACTCCCCTGGTTGCTGCAAACTACAGCCAAAGTTTCAGCTGAATGCTGGCAGCTGCAAAAAAGATTGTAATCTTTTCAGCAAAAAGCTACACCTACTATTTTTAGCTGCTTGATTAGAACAGAGCAAAATCATTCTGTTTTTACATCACGTACATTTTTGTTTGCAGGGATAGTTGTTTTAATGTACGTACTGATCTACATTTTCACCTCACTGAGCTCACATGCTACACAGAAAAAGCTTCCTAATGGTTCTTTACCAAAACCAGGGTCATTAACGGGCCAACAGACTCCACCTCGACTGCCTGAGGAACGTGTGATCAAAAAGCAGACCACAGGCTTTGTTTTTTAAATGAAAATGCAACCTAGCCCTTACGGACTTCCCAGTTGTGAACCAAAGGGAGGGGAGGTGGGAGAAAGCAATGCGCTGTTTTGGTTATAGTCAGTCTGAAACAGCACTTTAGAAAAGACTTTCCACCCAATATTAATTGTAGCTGCTAGAATACTGATCCATGCCCCCACACACTTCTGCTAAAACGAAAATCACTGTTAAGGGCAAAATTAACTGAATGAAAGGAGCCATAACACAAAATACATGGGGGGAGGGGGGAACAAACCACAAACCTACAACCAAGAGGCCAAGAAAACAAACAAACAAAAAATCAACAGCCTAGCAGTTAACATTATTTGATGAAAGGCTACACTTAATGACAACCCCATGCAGGAAAAGTTAACTAGCAGTTCAATTTCTGCTCAAAGGCACACTGCTCTCGCTCTTTCCACAATCAGAAATTGCACTGATGTCAAGAGACAAGCTGTGAATCACAGGCAATGTGGAGTTCTAAATTAACATCTGAGCATAAGGGACAGGAGTAAACCCTTCTCTCCCCAGATCTTTCCTCCTTAAGTTGTGCAAGATGAAGTCTGTGGACAAAGACAACAGAACGTCTGTTCCTTAGCAAGAAGGGCTCCATGAGAGAGTATCAGAGAAAGATCTTTGTCTGGCACATCAGTAATACACCCCCAGGACAAGGAAGGATCCTGTGCTGCCAAGGAGCTGGATAAAGTATTACAGTTCTTCCACCTCCACTGTTAATAACTACTAAACAGAAGCAGTTGGTTACACATATGAGGCATCAGGACTAAGAAAGTTCCCAAATGAAAGCCCTTCATCGAGGCCCTACAGACTGTGACACTCAAAGCTGCTGCCCTCTCTGATTTTGCCTTGTGGTTTGTACACAAGTCAAAGTTCACACAGCTGAAAGGCAAAACACGACAAACCCAGCAGGCTGGCAAGCCTTCGCAGGGCTACTCCTCCACACGCAGAGCTTCCAGAAGCAAACCATCGCCGTCCCAGTCAGCCCCCCCAGCGCCCGGCAGGCTCAGAACAGCTAACAGCCATGGTTACAAGGCTTGATACAAACCTCAATGTGCACGCAGGCACAGATAAATATAGTTTTAAGAAACACACGGGCTGACAGAACAGATAATGTTAACAAGGCTGTTTTGCTCCATATTATTGACTGAAAATCTTGAGAATTCATAGAGATGTGTGAATAATGAGTTCTGATCTGAGCCTGGTTTCTCTTAGCGAGTCAAGAGAATGTTTCTATCCATCTCCTGGGTCAAAGCCTCAGCTGAGAGGATCAACACCCCCAGCCCACCCTCGCCTGCCTGGCAGGGCACAGGCACACAGAAACCTTTACAGCAAGAGGGAAGAACCACAGGAGGGGTACAGCCTGCCCCTAATCCGCGCTCCGCAAACCTGAAACACCCGCCTTTCACCAAACATTAAAAATAAAAAACGTAAATCCGAAGGCAAAGGCTATTTAACAGCAGGAGAGCACACCGCATCGCTGAGGAATTCCAGACGGCGGGAGAGGCGGGAACACCGCGCGAGTTCACGCCCGCTGGAAGCCACCCCGCTCCTCCGTTCTCACCGAGACACTTGTTGCAGAGACGCCCGGCCCGGCCGGGAGAGCGGAACGGCGGGCACGGCCTCAGGACGCCGCCTTCCCCC